TTTTTTTTTGTCAGTAACGTCATAATTCTGTTATTCTATTGAGCTTCTCATGGGATGAAACTCTTTTTAAAAAGTAAATGCTCATACCGCAAATATTTGAAAGCAAATAAAACAAGCCGTGTGTCGGGTTCCCCGCACGGCATGTCGTAGCCAGTTTTTCTGCTGCATTATTTAGTTCTTTATTTGTTTTGTTCGCGTGCGGCTGCAGTCGTCGTCTTGAATTAACCCCTGTAGAGAAGGTATTCACTCAGCTGCAAGCGATGCTTCACGGACAGAAAAATCGCTTTCGATCAACATGAATGCAGTCAAAGCCGCGACTTGCTGTGGGTATTAAGTGTACGGAGCCACGCCGTGGTGAGCTCAACAACTTCTATCGCTCATCGCAGCACTCCCCTCTGAGGGCAGTTTTCCCAGGAACCACATTATATTTAAACAAGAAAATAAAGAATAGCCTTTTTTTTTTGAGGGGGGGGGGGGGGGGGCGATTTTACCGACCATATTTTCTTAATCCTAAATTTCCAAACTGTAAATAAACGTACTTTCCTTCATATTTCCGTATCGTTCAGCCCTTTCCACAGAGCGGAATCGCTCTCGGGTTGGAGACAACAGAAGATCGCAGACGACAGTCACATTAGCCGCTGTACGACTGCAGCTATGGTTCAGACCAGCGTTCCAGCATGACTATCCGCAGGTCGATTCAGCGAAATGTAATCCCTCAAGCAACGTTAAAGCTCATTAATGTCAAGCGGAATGTCAACCTGCAACACACCGCACCCTCTGATCACAGCCCGACCAGAGGCATCAATGCCCGACAGTTTACGTCATCCCTTCTTGTTGTTACACTACTGATACGCGAACAAAGGGTCACATCGACGAGGATTCCAGTATTCTGTTCAAAACGCACAACACTGCCGTCGTGATGCTGCTGCTATGTTGTTGACACTCAGAAATATAGAACCACCTTGACTGCCGGTTTTCACTCGGCATCGGAAAACAGAACTGAACTCAGCACAGGAGGCACCCAAGCCCCAGGCTGCAAAATCTCCCTGTCTTGGACACAGTTTCCGCGGTTTCTGTAACGTCGTCAACATTGACATGTCCTTCCGCAAACCGAAGGCGGCCTTCTTAGCCCAGTGCACGTAGCCATGCTGGCACTGCTCCGGAACTTCGCTGTGTTTCTAGCGGCTTCGCTTGCTCGTATGATAAAATTAGTGGTAAAAACATCGATGCAACCTAAATGCTCCGCACGTTTGGACTGGGTGAAGGAATTACAGGGGGTCTTCGCTGGCTCTAAAGCTCAGTGAACTACGAACATTTATTGAACAACGAGCACGATGTGCTCGAAAAACGAATTTGAAAGAAGATGAGGGGTAGGGCGAAACCCTTAATCCGCCTGCCTGGAGATGGCGAAAAACGCCTCGTTCCTCCCTTCCCGTGTTCGCTTGGGGGCGCGTTAGTAGAATGAAGGAAAACGCGCCGTTCCTGCCTTTTTGCTTCTTTTTCCCCCTTAGAGTGTAGGCACTAAAAATTAATAATAATAGGGTTTTATTAGAGCGCAGCTCTTAGGCGCCCGTTTCTGGCTTAAGCGGCGTCGGCGTCGCCGTCGCCGTCGGCGTAACTAAGGTCACCCCAAGGTCACCTTAAGGTCACGTGACCCCCCAAGGTGACCCCCACATGACTCCCCAAGGTCATCCCAAGGTCACTGACACCCCGAGGTCACCTGACCCCTCCCGAGGTCACCCCAAGGCAGTGTTGTGCCCGTTACCGAAAAAAGTAACGAAATAGCGTTACTCGTTCGTTTGGTAAAAAGTAACGCGTTATCGAGCTACTTTACTCTTTTACAAACGTAACGATATACCGATACCGTTACTGTTCAAAAATAACGAACATTACTTTTACGTTATTTTTCTCTTCGAGTACATATGTTTGGCAGAGATGTATGATAAGCCCCCTTAACAAGCTTGGATATGGATAAAAATTTACAGAGTGGTTTCATAGTGTTTTGATGCGCGAAGCAGGTTAATTTTCGGCATGCAGATTAGGCATTGAAACTGTAAATTACCTGATTCTGTCTCCTTTAGTTGATACATCTCATACAGCCTTGCTGGCCATTGCAACGGACTTTCGTTATTCATGCCCATCTCACGCGCAGAATGAGTCGGAGATGTTAGTCAATCGGCTTTCAGAAACTACTGCATGCGAACGAGGACTGCTGAAACACAACCAGCCAACCAACAACCGTCATCTGTACGCCGGTTTTAGTAGCAGTCCGGTTCATACTATTACCAGAGACTGATTTACTTCACTGTCAACAGGACACCGGTTACCAGCACACTGGCTATAATCACTTGCTGCCTCTTACCAGCAGTAGCTCTCAGTTTTTCTGTGAAAAAAAAGGTTTCGTGTTTATGTTTTCTTTCCAGGCTTAAATTTTTTTTTTATTTTTTAATTATGACCTTCGGGAATTAAAGACTACTCAAGCGAAAGATACTTCTGTGTACAAAAGTGGGTCAGGAACTTTCAGGCAGCGAGGGGGAGAGCGAGGGTAAAAATATTCCACAAAGGGTTTTTCTTTTTTTTCTGAAACGAGAAATGAGCAAATCGCTTCGCCACTAGTTGTCCACTGTTGTAAACGGATGTCTCTCCACGGCTCCCTCCCCCCCCCCCCCCCCCGCTGTCCACTTATGCTGCACAAAGCAGGTGGGGAAGAGGAGGGAGGGTAGGAGGCTGTAAAGCAGTCGTTCGTTCAAGCCTTGTGGGTGGTGACACTATGAAACAAAAGATGAAAAAGGAGGAAGAACGGAATTAGCTGGTAGCCGAAGGTTTTTTTCGCCTTCGAAAGTTGAGTTTTTTTTTTTAAACTTTACTGTGACGGATGCTGGTTCCGTACAGTGGTAAGCTGGTGCAGGACTTTGAGATAAGCTCGTGCAGTATTTCACCAGTTTTGGTCAAAAGTAACGAGTAACGTGTAACGAAATTTGACAGCCGATACCGTAAAAACGTAACGGAAATACTTTACTCGTTAGTCATTCAGAATACTAACGAGTACGTTACTCCATTAGCGAAAAATGTAACGCGTTACCATTAACGTCGTTACTGGTAACGCGTTGCCTCCAACACTGCCCCAAGGTCACGTGACCCTCGGTCGTGTGACCCCCAAGGTCACGTGAGCCCTCCCAAGGTCACCCCAAGGTCATGTGACCCCCAGGTCACGTGTGCCCCGAGGTCACGTAACCCCTCCCAAGGTCACCTCAAGGTCACGTGACCCCCCGATGTGACCCCCACGTGACCCTCCAAGGTGACGTGACCCCCCGAGGTCACGTGGCCCCCTCCCCGAGGTCCAGTGACCTCCTCCCCCCGAGGTCAGGTGACCCCCTGGAGCATATTAAAGCATGAGGGAAGAGAAGGAGGAGGAGGGGTCTACCCTCCCCTCAGTACCTTTCCCTTCTCCTCCTCAAGAGCTGCGCTCCAATTCGGCGTTACAGGGAGTTGTAAACGGCTTTCACTTCTTTTTACCAGGCACACCTTAGGTATCTTTTTTACTCTTTTCACAAAGCAAATACTACAATCTTAACTCTAACACAGACTTTGTCATATATCTTGTTACATTTATCTACATGAATTAAAGTCTTTCAGTGGCCGTTGTGTAGTATAATTAAGCTTGGTTTCGAAGAACTGCGGCCGCAGGAGATCTTAAATTTCGGGCCGTTCTATTGACTGGTTTTATGTGACAAACGGATACCTCAGTTTAAAAAAGCCTTCCTCCACTTTGAGTAAAAACATTTCTGAGTTCTGGAGCCTTGATAATATGATCGAACTTATGCGATGGCTTTTCCCATATTGGCAAGTCAGTGCTGACGAAAGTGAAAGAGCAATCACAAGAGGTTGCAAACTGTTGCGTCTTTTTCCAGATTACAATTTGTTACCAATCTTCCCAAACAATGATTCTTACCAATTACTCAAGTGCAATTTGTTAGAAGCATATATTTTATTGCGTTTTCTACCAGAAGGTCTGAATTCTGTTGTCAAATATAAACAGAAATAATCACAAAAAATTCGGGCTACAAAAAATTTGACTACTATTATGATGTTGTGATATCCTTGGCATCGCTCAATGTCACTAGCGCAATTGGTTCTCATGAGATCACCTGTGAAACTCGACATGCCTCTTTGTGCCTCCCCTATCTTGTCTCTGGTCTCAGCCACGTGGGGAAACTCTTGCTTTATAAAATCGTTCTATTGTGTAGCAAAGCACAAGAGGGTAATATTCCGAAAGAATGCGGATGAAGAAAAGCATTTTTTATGTTTTTTATTAAAACTTTGCTATATAGACACATTTGGGAGAGCGGGCAGGTTGCTGAAGGAACCAGTCTTGCTTTCTTCATTTTAGTTGCATTTTATTAAACCAAGCTTGGATTTACTTACAACGTCCGTGTACTATATTCCTGATCCTCTCAGTTTTACGCAGATAAACTACTATATAAATAATGACCTGCATTCAGACGCGAACGATCGATTATGATTTTCACATTAATCTGCATTTGGTCAGCATTTTGTTGATTTTGACTTGTGGTCGATTGCTTCACTGTGCTTTTAGCTAGTTTTTAAGTCTTTCAAATAAAGAGGAATCATGATATGTCTTTACTCTAAAGTAGACTTCTGAAGATTAGTAATGAAGCTTCACTAGAAAAGCTCATGTTTTAATTTTGGCTTTACACGTAACGCTGATGAACAACTAAACTAGTAACCTTGCGTAAAATCGACATTCTATATTGTGTCTGGCGAGTGCTTTAGTGCCACCCACGGGAATCGAGGAGTATAACGGCTCTAGGGGATACTCAGAAATTATTGTACAGCACAAAACAAGTGTAATTCCCTACGATAGGAGCACCATTTACATGGCAAGAGTTTCAAAATGTATTAAAAGACAAACTTATTCAAGGTGAAAGAAACGGTTTCTCATTGCGAATAACAAACATATTTTATAATCTCCAGAAAACATGCCCAGGAGTACACCTTGGTCATCGAGGCAGAGGTACGTGCTTCCTCAAGCTCGGCAGCTGATGGCAATCTGGGGATTCTACTTGATTTTGTTGTTAGCTGAACTCAGCGCTGCAAAACAATTATTTGGTGAGTAGTATAGTCAGAGTATCCTTTGAAGACTTTTGCATCGTATAATTTAGACTAACTCATGCCTGCCAGCCTCAAACGTGTTACGAGTATAAGTAAAGAAATTAAAAGATTAATATTAAAACCATTCATATCTTATTTCAAGATGAATAATTCCTTTTCCTCTCAAATTGTACCAGATTTGTCCGCCAAAAAAGTGTGTGAAACCGAATCCTGCAAAGAAAGAGGTGAGAACGCTTTGGTGCAACTGGCACTTTTCGTCCTTCGTCCGTCTTCAAACTGTTTCTAGTTTCTTAATGCATAACCAACTCGCCAAATTTTCAACAGTGCAACGACGTAACTGACAATTTATTGGAGCAGCATATCACGTTGACTGCTTTATACAGAGTTGTGATGAATTCAACCACGTTAAACGCTCGTTAAAGTATTTAGCGTTCGTGTGTGAACAACTTTCTGCTTTATAGAATGTCCGTATTAGGTCAAAATTTGTCCGAATCAAAAAGTAATTTAAAATAACGTGCGCAGTTTAGGCTCACGTTAGCGCTAAATTTAGCGCTTGCGTTAAGTCACGCCGCGCAAGACAGTACGGTACAAGCACTTTTATATCGTAAAATATTAATGCTGTCAAACACATATAAGTGTAAGATTTTCATAAACAATATTCCTAGCGTTAATAACATTTTTTGTTGGGGTTTAATTGGTATAGTATTTAATTTTGTTTAATAAACAAAATTAAATACAATACGAATTACAGCCCAACAAAAGGAACGCGTTCCTTGTATAGATTAGGAATACCCACATTCCGGTGTTTATTACGCGTTTGCTTATGCCTTCTAAATTTTGTTGAGATGATAAATAAAATCTGAATTGCGTGGTCCCTTGCTCTTTGTGTTACAAATAATCAGCAACTACCCCTGAGGAGACCGTGCTATCATAACAAGCCCACACGTTAACCTTGATGCCTGTGCTAATGGGGTACTTAGGCATTTCCTTCGTAGTCGCCGATTTGCCTGACATTTTGCTAGACATATCAACAAACTTCGATAACATAGTAACCCGAATATTGCGCCGAAATAATGTTTTTTTTTGCGAAGGTATTTATAACTCACTTTTGGCCCTGACCGTGTTCGTCAAAGTGAAAATCTCTACTGAAAGCAATAAAAAGTGACGTAGGTGGAAGGCAAAACTTCAGTCTTTGGACTGTAGACTTTCTTTCCCAGCTGATTACAGGCTGCTTTATGTTGTGAAATGAACGCTTTGGATGCTTGCTCCAGCACTCGCGCCGCAGTAGGAAATGGATGCTCGGCATAGTTCATATTTAGGCTGCCCTCTCGACCTGCAAGCCTGCCTTACGATATTAAAAATCCCGTGTATATTTGAATGTTAATGTTCATATCATCTTCACTTGCCGATTTCACAATAACTATTTTGCATTTCGCGATACTAAATACTATACCGGTAAAGGTACAGGCCGGTGTTTCCAAGAATATAATTAGTTGGGGTAACCAAAAAAATTGTGAAAGTACCCCTTAAGGCCAGCGAGCATCTCAGCGTTCACTTAGTGCAAAGCTGCGTTTGTTGTAACTAGTAACGCCGTGGCTCAAAATGCATGAAATACTGTTAATGATTAACTAAAATGCTTAAAAACAACAAATGGCAAGAAATAAGGCATTAGACATGAGCATCGACTGATAGCTTAAAAGATAAAACAAGAAACCCGCCGAGAATCTGGCACAACGGGAATATGTCATTGCCGAACCACGCAGAGGCGAGGAGGGCGAAGAGCTGTAGCAACACAATGGCGTTCCGTCACTTTAATTTTTAAGATGACAACACAAATTTTGCACAAAGTACGTAATTTTCGATTACATTTTATTTTATGCCTTGAACATTATTAACGGTAGCCGTTGCTCGTCATTGCAAATAGAAGATAAAGAGCAACTACCACATGCATGTACAAATTCGCATTTTCGAAAATTCAACTTTCTAACCATTGCTGACAAAGACTAATGTTTGGGGATTCAGTGCACAGTAAATATGTGTATAATCTTAATCCGGGGGTTTTGATCTTTCTATAAACTGTAAAAAGATCGCGCATGAGGGGAGGGAAATAATTTGGTAATCGAGTGGGCTCTTTTATATTTATTTATTTATAGTTTTGCCAGCCTCCTATATTGCAGCCAGGGGAAGACTGGGTACGTTTTATGATTTATAAATTAAAGTTGAAAGGAAGTTGGAAACAAACATTACTTCGAAAACGAACTTTAAAATGTTTAACACGAAACAGTTCACAGTACTGATAAGGGGCGTAAAAGACAAAAGCAATATACAATATATTATCCAAAATGTTTCGTGAAGGCTTTGACAAAAAGGTGAAAACTGGTAAATTAAGTGTAACTGCGAACTATTCCATTATATACATACATATATATATATATATATATATATATATATATATATATATATATATATAAATAGAGAGAAAAATACTGTTGCGTAGGACGACGAAAAGTGCATAGGAAAGTAGACGTACCTCGAAGCTTTTCGTGGAGTTTTATTACATATAGGTCGACGTTTCGGCCTGAGCCAGACCTTTTCCGAGACTGGTACATGAGATGTCAGATTGACGTTCCTTGACTACGTCACGTTGTATTCCAAACATCTGGTTTCCCTCAAGAGTTGACCGTACCCCCGACGCAGGCGTCCACCCCCCCCCCCCCCCCCCCCCGGAAACCTGACCCTGGTGAAAAAACCCGCACAATATCGGAAAATCTAACGGAAGCAAAGCGGTGGGGGAGGGAGGAGGAGGGGCAGCCACAAGAACAGCAGGCGCCAAACTCTGGCCGAAAACAAAACAAACGGCTTTTGAGAAAAATGCCTTGAGCGGTGTCCGAGCGGTGTACCAGCCTCTCTCCGTGAAAAAACACACATATACACATCCCTTTTTCACGTAATGAACTTCAAGACAGGGAAGACGAGGGGTGGTTCTGGACTTCCTCGCCGAAAGAGGGAAAATAAACAAAAAAGAAAACGGTCGCAGCTTCTGAAAAACTTGCCCCAAGTGGTGTACGAGCGGTGCACCCGAGCCGCCTCCTCAGTGCGTAAAAAAACAACACACACAAACATACATCTCCCTTTTTTTCACATAATAAACTTCAAGACGAGGAAGACGAGGAAAGATTGTGAACTTTTAAACCGATATGAATAGTCAAGATGTGTTAACTGCGTGCATGGACGTCATTATTCCAGGGTGTTCATTGATCCCAGCTTTAATAGTGTTGAACTTGTAAATTAAATATGACTCCCTCTGCTCGCGATCCCGGTTATTTTTAAAACCAGATTGTATGAATGTCACCTCAAGCTTATCGAATGAGTGTCCAAATATACTCATGTCTTTTGAGAGGGGATACTTGGTCAGGATCTTACATGGGACATATGATTATTGAATCTTAAGGGGAAAGGTGTCTATATATATATTCACAAAATATTCGCCCATGAGGAGATGGTCGTCCACGGTCACCAAAAAATTGATCTGCAGATACGTTTCGAGAATGGTAGACTCTTCGTAAGTCCAAACAAACACACTTCGTTTTTTTTTCTTTCAATCAAAGAAAAAACGGGCGAAAAGAAGTAATTGGAAAAATGCTTACCGTTTAGTGGGTGTCTACTCAACTAAATTCTGGCTTAAAAGCTTATTTTATCTTGATAAGAAGCACCAAATTGCATTAAAGTAATTAAATATAATATTATTAACGCCATTATTATCACAAAACCGGTTTTTGGGACATGTGGTTCGACATAAGCCAACTACAGACGCTTTGCAGCAGCTGTGCATGGACGCCGCCATAACTGACCTTCAGTTTTTGTTTTCTCTTATTCCCTTTATTTCACTTCATTATTACCATGGCAGGCCAGGTTATTGCCACATTATATTCAACTGTGTCATTTTCTAAAGCATCGGCCATTGTAGAAGATCGTCAACTACCGCTTCAGTTGCTCGGCATCTCGGTAAGACAAGAGAAGGTCAGCAATGGCGGCTGTAATTTGGCGCGTGTGTAAAGCGTCTATACCTGGTGTCATGTGAAGCCAATGAGAGGTTCAATGTTAAGCGTTTGCTTGTGTCGCATTAAACGATGAAGTGAGTAAAAAAATTGAGATGTGTGAAGAGAAAAGTCCGAAATATTCAATTATTCTTCCTGTGTGATTTCTAAACACGACGAGTTAGTTCTGAAGAAGGGATTAAAGTTTTGCCCGCCTCCTCGCAACAATAGTGATGATTTCGACTTGCACAAAGGATTAATTGAATTTGCACGGCAATTGCACTGTAAGGTTTTTCAAAGGAGCCCCTTATCAAGAGCCTTTATATAAACTGTGAGAATCGGCCCGCCACTACCGTGAAGGGACGTGAAAACAGGCTCTTTTGTTTGCGTTTGCACGTGTGCCCCGGTGTGTGGCTGAACTGGCGACGCTCGTGCGAGCTGGGGCAGGGGACATTTTGGTGAAGAGAAGAAAACGAGGAGAGCACGCGGTGGGACCTTTTTGAGGCATTCGGAAATTAGCTTCGCTTGTAAATAGACGTGTTTTTTTTCTTCCCCCTTACCGCCGAGTCCTGTCTGGTTAACTCTTCCGTCAGCGACCATCAGCTGCCTCCGTCGTCGGGTCCCGGCGCAATCTCGAAGAAAGAACATCTTTACTGGCGAGCCGAGGACGACTATGGCGAGAACGTGGACGACGACGAAGGACCGAACTTATTGCATGGGCGGCAGGCGTTTCTTCGAGCGGAGGATGATCACGACGAGAACGTGAACGTTGACGACGAGAAACAACCGAATATCTTGCTTTGGCGGCAGACGTTCCGGCAAGCTGATAGTGACCACGGTAGGGAAGTGGGTGTCGACAAGAAGTCGGACATCTTGTTAGGGTGGCTGACGTCCCAGCCGGCCAGTGAAGATGTCAGGGAGAGCGGGGACAGCGACGAGGACACCGTCTTCGAGATGAAGATGTCCCAGAATATAGCTAGGGACGCCGATGAAGACTCGACCACCTGCCAGCCGGCCACGTATGAGAGAGCTGGGAGTGAAGAAGACGTCGACAACGGCGACCGCCTGCGAGGCCCATTCCTGAATCGTAAATCAAGACAGAGTATAAACTGTCGTCGCTCCTACGCGGAGAAATTCCGGAACCAGCTGTACACCGTCCGATTCAAGCCCCGCCGAAATCTGGGTGGCTTAAATAACCTGTCGGCAAAGAGACGGAGGCCGGGAGGCTAAATGCTGCGCTAGTCTCGGCGCGAGATTTGTCACTGCTTTGGAGCCTTGGCGGGCAGAGTAAGAATCACCTTACTAGCATGTGATTGGCATATTGGTGTAAATTTATTTTATAGTTTGGATTCTTTCGGGTTGAGTCACACACTCCGTGCAAGGTGTGACTGGCATGCGTACGCGTCTGAGTTTAGTTGTTATATATTATTTTTGACATTTCGGGTCTAAAAAATATACTTAGTCGGGAGGTGTGAAAATCGGCCCGCCATCATCGTGAAGGGACACGGGAGCAGGCTCCTTTGTTTGCGTTTGCACTTGTGCCCTGGTGTGTGGGTGAACTGGCAACGCTCGTGCGAGCTGGGGCAGGGGACATTTTGGAGAAGAGAAGAAGACGGGGAGAGCACGTGGTGGGACCTTTTTGAGACATTCGGAATTTAGCTTCACTTGTAAATAGACGCGTTTTTTTTCTTCCCCCTTACCGCCGAATCCTGTCTGGTTTACTCTTCTGTCAGCGACCATCAGCTTTCTTTTTCGTCGGGTCCCGGCGCAATGTCGAAGAAAGAACATCTTTACTTAAACACAAATCCTATTGGATTCCACCGTTGAATAAACAAAATTTAATGTCATAAAATACATAGAGGTGGTCCAGAAAGTTGTTTTATCGGCTTATAAAAAACAGAGCCCACTTAAATATAATTTAAATTATAAGGATAGAAAATGCTTAAAAAACCTCACTGAAAACAGAGATATCATAATAGCTCAGGCTGACAAAGGTGGAGGTATATGTATAGTCAACACAGCCGACTATGTATAGGATTCAATTAAACAACTGAACGACACTATAAGTTCTATAAAAAACTAGATTATCATCCAACGCTGAAGTTTCGCGAGAATATAAAAAAACAAATTAAAGTACGTAGTAGATAGTATTAAAATAGAGAAAAAACATTTCTAGCTATCTTATTCAAGAAAATCTGAAACCAGGAACGACAGTTGTATATATTAATAAAATTACACAAACAAAATCAACCGGGTAGACCAATTATTTCTGGAATAGGTACAAAAACAGAGAACATTTCAGACTTTATTGACAAACAAATTAAAAGTACTGCAGCCGGGTCCCCGTCCTACGTAAAAAACTCCTCTCATTTTCTCAATTTGATTAATGACATCCAAATAGATTTTAGGGCTAATAGTACGTTGCTAGTTACAATGGACGCAGTGTCCCTTTACACTAATATACGGCATGATGAAGCGATCCAAGCAGTTCTGAATATTGTTAACGAAAACGACCTCACAGTTAGTAAAAGCGTCTTAAATTTTTTTTATGCACTTATCGTTAGAGCTTAATAACTTCACATTTATGAATGAGCACTATTTACAAATACATGGCGCAGCAATGGGAACACGTTTCTCTCCCTCCCGTACAAATATATATATGATGTCTTTAGAGGAGCGGCTACTTAACTCCTTTCCGTATAAACCCCTTTTTTAAAAACGTTTCCTCGATGACATATTTATAATTTGGAATAATGGGGAAGATGAACTCTTTGAGTAGATTAGTACTGCTAAGAATTTTAAACCACATATTAAATTTACACTCCCATACCGATATAGAGTTTCCAGATATTAAGATAAGACTTACTAAAATGGTTTAAAAACAACCTTATATCGAAAACCTACAGATAGACGCCATTTTCTGCATTATAAAAGCTGTCATCCAATACAAAACAAAAAAGCTCTACCATACAGTCAAATGTCACGATTCAGACGCTTATGTTCAGAAGATAAGGATTTTGATATAAAAGCTAGAGCACTAGGAGAGGGTTTCATTAACCGTGGATTACCGTTAATACATAATTCAATATCAAAAAGTCGAGCGATCTTTCGAAACGCGTGTTTAGTAGAGCAACCGAAAAGAAATAACGATGAATTACGACAAATCTTACCTTACCAGTCAAAACTTCCAAACATAAACAATATTCTTAGACGACACAGGAATACTTTACACGTGGACACTGCTTTAAAGGCTGTTATCCCTCGACCACCTGGTATAGCGTTTAAGAGACCACATAATTCATTAGATTTTTTTTAGACAGTCCCGAAACTCCATCGGACGTAGCCTGGTCCCTCTTGGTTGCATAAAATGCTATAATAACCAATACAGTTTATATGTAGATATAATTATCGCTAACACTATTCGTAGAACAGCAAATAACTTTAACTGGAAAATACATGGTACCTTTGACTGTAATTCGGAAAATGTTATTTATTTGATTCATTGTGAAAATGCCTAAATCAATCCAAAGGAGAAACTAAAACAAGCATAAGAAACGCATGAATCTACATAAAGTCACATACGTAAACACATCGCCGAACCAGTTTCTCGTCACTTAAACTCCGCAGGATATAACGGACTTTCTGATTTTAATTTTATTATACTTCAGGGGGGACTTTCGAACCAGATATAAAAAAAAATAATAAAAATTCTTAATTTATTTATAAATTTCATACTTTAGAGCCGAGGGGTCTTAACAGTTCGAAAGGGTCATTGCCGTCGTTTTTTTATGGACATTTAATTGAGGTGTTCTAATCTGCGCCGCACTGTTGCTTCTTTTTTACTCGCTTCATCGTCTAATGTGACACGAGCAAACACCTATTATTGCGCCTCTCATTGGCTTCACATGACACCAGGTATAAATGGGTTATGTTCAACCACATGTCCCGAAAACTGGTTTTGTCATAATAATGGGGTTAATAATATTATATTTAATCATTACTTCAATACAAGTTGCTGCTTTTTTATCGAGATATATTAAACTTTTAAGCGAGAATTTAGTTGAGTAGATACCCGCCCTAAACGGTAAGCATTTTTCCAATTACGTCTTCTTTTCTGCTGTTTTTTCTTTGATTGAAAGAAAAGGGGAACGAAGTGTTCTTTTTTGGACTGACGAAGAGCCTACCAGGCTTGAAACGTATCTGCCGATCACTTTTTGGCGACCTTGGATGACCATCTTTTCAAGCGCAAATATGTTGTGAACATATCTCTATCGAGTGCCTTCTTTTTATTTCAGGGGCAGTTCCTCTATATATTATATATATATATATCAAAAGATACGTACGTTCGGAGCTACTATACTAGGAAGTTTATTGTGTATATTACGAGACGTCACCTATGTGTATATATATATATATATATATATATATCTTGTTGTGAAGTAACAAAGTGATGTTTTGCTCTGTAACATAATTAGGGTTTTATCATGTTGGCTGCCCGCATGTCTGGCGGTGCAACACTGCCCCTGATTATACAAACAAATTAAGGCCATGATGTTTGAATGTTTACACAAGTGAAAGATGAAGCCCCGCCTGTTGTATCTTTTAAGTATAATTCATTGTGCCTCTCCTAAAACAATATTTTTGATTTTGATATATTTTTTTTATCTCTGTCGACATATTACACCACTGGCATTACTACTGATTTGTTTACTGTTAGTTATGCTTTATAAACTCAAATTTTAATTTAAAAAAAAGTGGTTTTTAGTTCAAGCGTATTTGTGTTTTATGTCACGGTTGCACGTGGGTTGGTTGCACGTGGGTTGGATGAAATGACAACAAAAGGTGTTAGAACTGTTCAGGAGAAGGGGAAAGGAAAAGGTGACGACGGTGGAGGTGTGGGGAGGCCAGCTATATTTTTCTCTTTCTCCTCCGTATTGCTTACATTTTTGTTTTCAGATGAGGTGATTGTCCGTTTTTTTTTCAGACCCCCTCCGAAGTCACTGACAGTTCGCAAGGAAACTTTAATAATCAAATACGTAAACAGTAAATTCTGCCCTTAGTTTGTTATCTTTTGGTCATCTTATTTGACTACCTCGCGTAGTGTTTCTCTTGCTAGGGGCGCTATTATGTAGTATAATACTTATTGCTCTGCGATAGATGAGGGTGCAGACCAAGTGTATCTCATAAGGGAATTTTGAGTTTCTTTTATTACCGCATTTTATACTTCTGATACAAGTCTATTGTTGAATTTTATGCAGCTAAAATGATTTTGGCCAGCATGAACCAGACCGAGGATCCTTGTACTGACTTCTATGAATACGCCTGTGGAAACTGGACAAAAACACACAAAATACCTGATGATCAGACCGAAATTGGACCTTTTAATATTCCTACTATTAAACTTTGGATGGTCTTAAAAAGTATGTTTTAATTAAGTCTATCAACTGAAACCGTTTATCTCCTCCTGATAAATTAGCAGTGCCGCTTGATTAGCGGTATGAAAAAGTAAAATGTTCTGCCCAAAGTCTGCTGCGGCCGGTGCCACTTTTAAGGGCGCTAAACTCTTCCCAATTATTTTTTTTTATTTTCACCTCGCATCTCGAACGAATACTAGGCAATGTATTTAGTAGGGCACAGAGAATTTCGATATTGTGCTTTTTGGCGCAAGCTCGTTCTACGCGCTTTAAGAATCCCAGGAAACTCAGAGTTGCAATCATGAGTTGCGTTTTCTTTTTCTTAAAAATGCGACCAAACATTTCGGCACGTCTTTTCTTTCTGGATCGATAAAAGAACAAGGGACATGTGATGTTTGGTCGGGTTAAAAAGGTTGCAAATGAGTGTAATTTTTTTTCCTTTCTTCGATGCTTACTGGGCGCGTTGGTTGACTTTTGTGGCACGAAAAGACAATTCCAAAATACACTTTAGTTCCCCTTAAGGGCACCCGAAAAACTATGCGTTTGATACCATTTATAATTATGTTTTAGAGTGCAGCTCTTAGGGGTCCGTTTCCGGCTTGAGCGGCGTCGGCGTCGCCGTCGGCGTAACCGCGAGGTCACGTGAACCACCCAGGTCACGTGACACCCCTAGGTCACGTGACCCCCGAGATCAAGTGACCCCCAGAAGTCACGTGACCCCCTGAAGTCACGTGACCCCCTTGAGGTCACGTGACCCCCTGAAGTCACGTGACCCCCAGAAGTCACGTGACCCCCTGAAGTCACGTGACCCCTGTCGTGATTGAGGGTTCCGACGAAGTCGACCCGGCGTAGTCGAATTCCACAAAGTTGAGTCCCACGTAGTCGTATCCCACCGCTGCCAACCAGTTGTCGTGATTGAGCGTTCCGACGAAGGCTCCCAGCCCGGCGACACCACTTTGTGCCGGGTAGGAGACAGGATCGAGGTGCCGGGAGGCGACGAGCTCAGCAAAACAGAACACACTATATTTTCATTAATTACAACATCCTTTCAGTGTTCGTACCACAGCAACTTCACGGGTGTCCTTTCTTTATATATCCGCCTCCCATCTCGCCGTCCACAGGCTTGTCCAATCGCAGGGGCCTACGCGGTCCTCGGCAGCCAATGTGGAAGAAGTTCGTGTGCCAGCGGCCAGCCAATGCGGAAGAAGTTCGTGTGCCAGCGGCCAGCCAATGCGGAAGAAGTGCGTTTGTCAACGGCCAGCCAATGCCGAAGAAGTTCGTGGCGGGTCTCTCGGCGTGGTGGCTCGCTCGCTGAAGAGTCATCCACACGCTCACACACAGACACGGACACCCAGCTTGTACAAAGGTTGTCTCGAGAGCCGAGTTCTTCGAAGCTCCCGCACGAACCACCGGTCGGTGTGAGAGCGTGCTTTGGTCGACGTGAGCCAGGGGCACGCGCCGCTCTCGTAAACGTGGTACGGGTGTGTCGTAGCCTTTCACAATAGCTCCTCCGGCAACCGGGAGAGCGTTTTGAGGTAGAGCAGTTAGCAACCGCTCTTCCGAGAGACGCGGTTTCGCGCTGGGTGTTCATCGGCCCGGGGTTTGGTCTGGTGTGGTTGTTCCGTGTGTCTACTTCTTCCCAGGATGAACGAGTGCCCGAACTCCTGCCGAGAACCCCAGAGCAAAACCGCGTCTCTCGGAAGAGCGGTTGCTAACTGCTCTACCTCAAAACGCTCTCCCGGTTGCCGGAGGAGCTATTGTGAAAGGCTACGACACACCCGTACAACGTTTACGAGAGCGGCGCGTGCCCCTGGCTCAAGTCGACCAAAGCACGCTCTCGCACCGACCGGCGGCTCGTGCGGCAGCTTCGGAGAACTCGGCTCTCGAGACAACCTTTGTACAAGCTGGGTGTCCGTGTCTCTGTGTGTGCGTGTGGATGACTCTTCAGTGAGCGAGCCACCACGCCGAGAGACCCGCCACGAACTTCTTCAACATTGGCTGGCCGTTGGCACACGCACTTCTTCCGCATTGGCTGGCCGCTGGCACACGAACTTCTTCCGCATTGGCTGGCCGCTGGCACACGAACTTCTTCCACATTGGCTGCCGAGGACCACGTAGGCCCCTGCGATTAGACAAGCCAGTGGACGGCGAGATGGGAGGCGGATATATAAAGAAAGGACACCCGTGAAGTTGTTGTGGTACGAACACTGAAAGGATGTTGTAATTAATGTAAATATAGTGTGTTCTGTTTTGCTGAGCTCGTCGCCTCCCGGCTCCTCGATCCTGTCTCCTACCCGGCACAAAGTAGTGTCGCCGGGCTGGGAGCCAATCACGACACCCCCTAAGGCCACATGACCCCCTAAGGTCACGTGACCCCCTAAGGTCACGTGACCCCCTCAAGTCACGTTACTTCTGGGGGTCACGTGACCTAAGTGGGTCACATGACCCCCTGAGGTCACGTGACCCCCGAGGTCACGTGACTCCCAAAGTTCACGTGAGCCCCTAAGGTCACGTGACCCCATTAGGTCACGTGACCCCCTGAAGTCACGTGACCCCGTTGAGGTCACGTGACCTCAAGGAGTCATCTATCCCTCAGTACGTTTCCATCTTCCTCCTCAAGAGCTGCGCTCTAACCGGCGTTACAGGTAATTGTAAACGGCTTTCAATTTTTTGGTTTTTTTTAAACAATCTTAAATGCGTATTCTTTTGGAACTCGCTAGCACAATCGACACAAAACGCATGTGATATTTAATATTACAGCAGACGTACCAAGTGTTATTTAGGTATTAGCTTGACCAATTTTTCGAAATCTGTAATAAAAATATTCAGGCTCTTCATAATGAGGAAGCTGTGCCCTTTTATTTCATAGGATAGCAAACCCAAAAAATAACCTCCGTTTTTTTTTGTTTGTTTTTTTGCGTATGATATTAACATGAGCTACTAAGGATATAAGCGAGAAACTCGTGAAATAATTCATTAGGCAAGAAAAGAGCGCTTCTAAATCCACAAGGACTGTTCTTCTCCAAAACGACGAAGTTCTTAATATCTGCTATGATCGCTTCAAATATAAGTACTATCTCGTCTCTCTTATTTACTGCGAACTGCATAATCTTTTATAATAATATATTTTCACGAATAAACAGGCGGGGAAACAAAGAATAACTGGGGACACTGAAACGTTTAATGGGAAACAACTTGTGTCCAAAAATTAAAAGGAAACCAAAGATATCAGCAGAGCGTCGCGGGCGTCGAGGTCGGGGGAAGAGCAGAGTCGAACGCTGGGTCGAAACTGATTCCGGCCCTCCACGCGAAGCCCCCCCATGCACACGCGTAAGCCCCCGGAACAATTGGCGCAGAATGTTCGACACGCAGTACACTCGAACCCCGAACAACCCCCGAACAGGGTTCTCGAATTTACCAGAAAACTAAATTGCAGGAATAACAAAAGATGCGTCGCTCCCAGGAATCGAACCCTGGCTTTTCGCGCGGAAGGCAAGCGCGACAACCGTTCGGCCACGCGCGCACTGCCCACTTGGCCAGCTACGCGCGGCATTACTCCCCCCTTTAAAAAGCTCATCGTCCCGATGCAATACAAAACAAAGCAAATAAAAAGTACGGTAGACTTAAGAGTCATCTGGAACACATAAGGTCTATAGTCCTATCGAGCGTAGTACGGCTTCAGGCGCACGACGTGGACGACTTCAGGTCGTGGTGCGCGGCATGATGATGTTTTTGTTCCGTCGGGCATCACCTCGTAGTTCAGATCTCCCAGTCGATGAAGTACCTTGTAGGGTCTGAAATACCGCTTCAGGAGTTTCTCGCTGAGACCACGTCGGCCGAATCGGTGTCCAGACCCATACCCTGTCTCCGGGCTGGAAGTGGACGTCCCGACGACAAAGGTTGTAGCGGCCCGTGTCGACACATTGCTGGGCTTTAATCAGGTGTCTGGCGAACTGACGGACTTCTGCCCGTTGGGCAACCACCTGGGCGTCGTAGCTTCCGTCGACAGCCGGTTAGTGGGGTAACATCGCGTCCAGCATTGTCGTCACTTTGCGGCCATGAACCAATTGAAAGGGTGTAACCCTGGTGGTCTCTTGCACCGCCGTGTTGTAGTCATAGGTGACGTACGGCAACACCGCGTCCCATGTCTTGTGCTCCACGTCGACGTACATGGAAATCATGTCGGCGATGGTCTTGTTGAGCCCTTCCGTCAGCCCGTTGGTGTGCGGGTGGTACGCCGTGGTGCGACGATGGCTGGTGCGGCTGAAACGAAGGATTTCTTGGGTCAGCTGTGCCATGAACGATGATCCGCGATTTGTAATCAGAACTTTGGGAGCGCCGTGCCGGAGGACGATGGACTCGATGAAAAACTTAGCGACTTCAACGGCAGTAGCTGAAGGAAGGGCTTTCGTTTCTGCGTACCACGTGAGATAATCTGTGGCGACGATTATCCACCGGTTTCCCAGGGTCGACGGCGGAAAAGGACCAAGTAGATCCATTCTGATCTGCTGGAACGGTGCAGCTGGCGGAGGAATTGGCTGCAGGAGACCTGCCGGCTTCGTTGGCGGTTTCTTGCGTCGCTGGCACTCGTGGCAGGATCGGGTGTAGAAGTGGATGGTTTTGGGGAGATTGGGCCAGTAATACTTTTTGCGAATACGGGCCAGTGTCCGGCTGTAACCAAGGTGTCCGGAGGTAGGGTCGTCGTGACATGCTTGAAAGACCTCCTCTCGAAAGTCGCCCGGGATCACCAGCAGCCACGGCGAGTTGCTGTCCCCAAAGTTCTCTTTGCAGAGTACACCTTGTCGAATGGCGAAGGTCGGCAGGGTTCGCGAGAAAACGCGGGACACGGTACTTCCGCGTCCTTCCAGGTGCTGAACTGATGCGCGCAGCTCAGGATCGTTTCGTTGCCCTGGAGAAGCAGTCGGCGGCGCTGTGCTTGCGGCCTGACTTCTAGACTACCGTCATGTTGAACTCCTGTGGTCGGAGACTCCATCGAGCGAGGCGTC